GCTCAGCAAATCTGTCCACAGAGAAAAGGGGAAGCTGAGGCAGAGAGAGAATCCTGTAAGGAAGAGACTCTCGTACTTCCCCTTGGCCGCCCGCCCCCACCCTGACTGCCCATCCACTGCTGAGTCGTGGGCCCTGTGGGCCAGCAGAAGTGAGACCACGGCAGGGAGCCCGAGGTTTGCACAAGCCGCCAGCTTTTGCTTTCACTTCCTCTTCCTTTCTGGCCATATGAGCGGAGTTTACCTTTAAGTCTACAGTGAGGACAGCACGGAAAACAAAGAGACTGTTTCTGCTACAAGTTAAAGTCCCACAAGTGTTTTTTCCAGCCGTGTAGGTACCTCGGCCTTGCTTTCTCCTCCCTGAGCCCAGCTACCCACCCCGCCTGCTCCAGGTTCATCTTCTCTGGACCCCAACCCCAGAGGGCAGGAGTGCCAGACTAAGGAGTGGGACCCTCCTCTGTTGCTCTGCTGGATCCCGACTTTCACCCCCCCGCCCCCGACCCCTGGGGACCCTCGACCCCAGCCCTCGGCCTAACCCCACCGGACCCCAGCCTGCACCTTCTGCCTCCCAAACATCCTGGTGCTTCAACTGTTGACTGAGCCCACTCCAGGTGGGAACTTTATTTTGTTCCCCACTGTGTCTCCACAACTAAGAACCGGACCGGACACTGAGTAGGCATCTAAGAGGGGCTGGCAGAGGCCCCAGGGCCTTCCTATGCCCTCAGTTGGTTTTTGAAAAAATGTCGGTGGTGGGAGTTAGTCAGAGAATAGCCAGGTGGCCCAGGACTCTGGCCACCCGAGCTCCCGTCCCGTCCCCTGCTGTCAGAGCAGGGCTGCCCGGAGGAGTTTCATTGCCAGGAAGGGAGCTTTTAGAGCATCATGGGGTGAGATGAGGTGCTGCCCCATCCTAGAGGGGACACCTGCTGACAGGCAGGAAAGCCAAGGATTAACTGGCCCTCGATGGTCCAAGAAGTCTCTCGTGCCAATTTACAGATGAAGAAACCGGGACAGGTGGCTTGTCCAGGGTCACACAGCAAGTCAGTCATTAATTCGTTTGACAAGTTTGTGTCAATTCTGCAGCAGTAGATAGAGTACCAGTGGGAGTTCTGGGTCCCTGTACAGAGGGCCTCCTGCTGAGCCTCAGCAGATGAGACTCTGGTCCCTCCCCAGGGGCTGCTGGCCTGGCCCTCGGGCCCAGGATGGGGTGATGCTGAGCCCTGGGAAATAGGGCAGCCCTTGGCCTCTGGTGTCGCCTGCACAGCTTCCACTCCCTCTCCCCTCCTCTCCTTCCCCTCCCCCTTCGGATTTTGTTTCTTGGCTTCCACGGTGCCTCTTTCTCTCTCTCTCCCCCTCCCTCTCTCCCTCTACCCACCCCACCCCCAACTCCCCTTACAAGTCTTCAAACTACAATTTGGCAGCTCTTCTATTTTCCTGCCTTTGCCATTTCCTTCCTGTCCATCCTGGGGACAGGAGGTCGAGCTGCGTCGGGACAGACACCCCTCATCTCATAGCTGAGGGGCAGTCTGAGGTCTCCTTTCCCTTGGACACGGTGGAGAGCTCCTTTTCTGAGCCTGTAGCACAAGCGGTGGGGAGAGGCCTTGCCCTGAGAAGGGAGATGCCACCTGCTAGGGAGCCCAGGCAGATGATAAACGGGCCGCCCTGGCACACAGGTGACACAGGTTGGCTGCGCTTGGGCAGCCCCATGCCAGCGCCTAAAACAGGAGGGTTGTAGCCTGTGAGAAGGAACCAGAGGAGGAGGAAGTGGGGGACAAAAAGATGGCCCAGAAGGAGGAGGAACAGTGACACTTGGGTTGAAGGGCCCCCAGCTTCCCAGTCCTTACTGTGTGATAGACAGAGCACACATGCGAAAGGCAGGTAAGTTAGAGTCCCTCTGTCTTCCTCTTGGCCTCCATCTCAACAACAGAGCCCTTCACACTCACACAGAGACACATACACACACACACACACCCCCCACACCCCACCCCCGCCTGGCTGCCCTGGATGCAAGGTGTTCTTCTGGCTTGTTGAAACCTGAGGGGAGCAGGGCAGCACCTGGGAGCCGAGGAGGCCGGGCTCGCAGCCATCATGTGACCTCCCAGGCTGCAGAGGTGATGAAACAGAGCTGGAAATATGGAGGCCAGATGGGGCCGGGTCGTGGAGCCGGACGGGCCTTGTGCAGACCCAGCTCTACTCTCCCTGCCGGGGCGCTCTGGAGCACGGTACTTAGTCGCCGGATCCCTGGGCCTTGAGGTGGGGTGCAGACTTCCCACATCCACCCCCATGGGGTTGCTTTATGATTAAATGGCTCGCCTAGGGCCTGGTGAACATTCGGTAATGGGAAGCAAGAGCTTCCTCTTACGTTTGTGGTTAGTCACAGGCACCTCTGTGTCCCCCCAACTTGGCCACGAGCCCCTCAAGATCAAGGCCCCTGGGTCAGTCCCTTTTCCACCCAGGTGCAGGCTCCTGACCCATCCTCAGCCCAAAGTCAGCACCACCTACCTGTACAGGAAGGGGCCTCCTGGTTGGCAGGGGACAGGCTTGGCTTGCACCTGGTGTGATTGTTAGGACCTTCGAATCTGAGAAAATCCCTCCTAACAGGGACAGTAAATTACACAGTCACCCTCCCCGGAGGGGACCACCCCAGACCCGGGCTCCAGCTCTCACCGGCAGGTGCTGGCCACCTTTTCCATCAGCTCATCTGCCGACAGACCACTGTTGACAGTTTCTTTGCTCCTGTTCCCTTGAGTTGCTTGCCAGGTATTGGGGTCAAGGACAGAGAAGGGGACTAACATTTACATTGATCTTCTTGCTCCTCCACGAGTCAGGCCATCCACAGAGATGGAATAGAGACCTTGGTCCATAGCGATAAGACCAAGGCTCGGGACGCAGTGGGCTGTGCCAGACTGGAAATGGGCAGAGTCTGGATTTGAACTCAGAACCCAGGGCCAAGTCCCCAGCATAGGCTCCGCTGTTGAGGGTCAGTACCTCCCCTCCCCCTCCCACTGGCCCTGCCTTTGGGGAAGTCTAGAAAAACGGCTGAGCTTGTTGTCTGCTCAAACCCTCATCAGACACGAGGGCTGCCCTGGGTGCTGTTGGGCTCTGTGTCAGACAGGCTGCTGTGACCTGAGGCAGCGATGCGTCCCCGGGGTCGGCACAGGGTCCCCTCTGTGGACTCTGAGAGGGCAGGGCCCCCGCCTCACCTGCCTGCATCTTCAGGCACAGGGCCTGACCCAGAGCAGGGATGTAGCAGATATTTATTGCAGAAATGAACCAATGAGTTGTCAACCCTAGAGGTCGTCCGCAGAGTTACCCAAACCTTTGCTGAATTCGGGTCCCCAGAATGGAGAAATCTTTCAGCCCTTCTATGGGTAGGGGTTTTCGTCCCCATTTTTTAGATAGGGACACCGAGGCACAGTACTGACTTGGAAGTGACTTTGCTTAGTCATTTATAAGTGACAGCTGGGACTTGAGGCCAAGCTGCCTGACTCCCAATTGAGTGCTCATTCCAGCAGCGGGTGGGGGTGGACGCTGAATCTCATTTAGCCCCTGCAGCCTGTTCCCGATGGACCCTGAGCCCCGTGTCAGAGGTTTGTTCGTCTGACCCCTTCCACGAGACCCCCACTTTAAGCTTAATAGTTTGATTTGTAGTGTGTGTTTCAAGGCGGCTAAATTCTTGTCTGGGGTATTTTATTTTTAGCCAGCTTCAGGAAGGGGAAACTCTGCTGGCCTGTGGGGGGAGGGAGACACGAGGCTGGAGCCGGTTTCCTGAGGAAAGGCCGCCCTGAGAGGAGAGCCAGCAAAGCAGGCAGGAGCCCCGCAAATAATGTCCTTCCCCTTCCTTGTAGAGCGCCTCCAAGGTGCCAGGCACTGAGCCAGGGGCAGGGGTTCAGTGGCGATGAGTCTGAGTCTCCAGGCCAGGGAGGAGGCCCTCCCACATCCGGACGCACTGCGCCTCCTGCCACCGGAGGGCATGGTGAAGCCCCAGGAGCAAGTGGACTCTGAGGGAAGCCTGGGAAGCTGGCGGGAGGAGCCAGGAGCTCACTGGGGTTGGGGGAAGGGCATCGGGGGCGGGAGGCCCCGTGTGCAAGGTGGGACTGCGCAGAGCCCCTGGGATGGCAGGACGCCCATGCGCTTGGGGTCTGGACCTGGACAGGTGGGCGCACCGGCTTTCTCGATCGGAGAGCGTGGCTGTGAAGCTGGGAGCCAGTTCATTCGTTTCAGACAGTTGTCTCAAACATGTTAGCCATCGCACGGCCCTTCTGTGTACAAATCAGAAAAAAAAAGCTATATGTTTAATCGGTATAAATGTATAACATTCAGCTAATCGAGAACAATGACCTCTTGTGATGGACACAGTCATTTAGCAACAGGGATGATAGGTGGGAGCTACTGTCTGAGGTCGGCCTTGGCGCCTAATTTATTTTTGTGTGTTGCCTTGTCTTTGTCCAATATATATTCTTTTAAAAAACCAAAACACCTCATTCATATGGACAAGCTGTTACAAATGGTGACAGTTGTTTAATACCTCCCTTTATAGTCTCAAGGTCTGTGCAAAATTAATTACCTCAGCAGCAAAGCCGGTGGGGCCATTGAATACGTAGGAACGAGGTGTACTGTATATACACGTAAGTAGATGGGTTTCCTAAAGTCGGTTTTTGAAAATAGAAGAATCTTTATTTTGTGTGATTTTGAATCAGATTTTTGAGGCCGTGCAGAACACGGATTGAGAACTGCTGAGGAAATCCAGCCTCCCTGTTTTAAAGATGGGAAAACTGAGGCCAGCAAGAGGGCAGGGCTTACCCAGGATCCCACAGGATAATGGGGGAGATTGTCAGATACACAGAGGGTGTCGCTGGTCCCCATAATTACAGGTGTGTCCTGTTCCCAAGGCAGGAGTAGAAGGCGGCGGGGACAGACACGCCCAGGATCGGCTGAGGCCTTGCCGATCTGTCTGTCCGTGCGGCAGCGAGCCCACAGTTCTGATGTTTCCTTCTCTCCTGCAGCGATGCCCTCCTAGCCAGCTGCCGAGGGATGGAGGGCTTCATGGACTCAGGGACACAGACGGACGCCGTGGTGGTGCTGTCCTTGGCTCAGGCCGCCGTCCTGGGCCTGGTCTCAGAAAATGAGCTCTTTGGAGCCACCATAAGCGCCGAAGCCTTCTACCCGGACCTGGGGCCCGAGCTGTCGGGGGCTTCCATCGGGGAACCCGGGCCCCCCGGCCCTGATGTCTACCAGCTGGCTTGCAACGGGCGGGCCCTGGAGGAGCCGGTGGAGGAGGAGGTGCTGGAAGTGGAGGCGGCCTTCGAGAAGCACACCCGGCGGAAGACGCGGCCGCCTGTGCGGCTGGTGCCCAAGGTCAAGTTTGAGAAGGTGGAGGAGGAGGAGGAGCAGGATGTCTACGAGGTGTCAGTGCCTGGCGACAAGGATACAGGCCCGGCCGAGGCCCCGGCGGAGGTGGCCGGTGGTGGCTGCGAGGCCCTGGTGCAGAGCAGCTCCGTCAAGATGATCGACCTCAGCGCCTTCAGCCGCAAGCCCCGGACGCTGCGGCCCCTGCCCCGAGCCCCGCGGCCAGAGCTGGACGTGACTCCCTACGACCCGCACTTCCCCGACCCGGCCCGGGGTGGCTTTCCCGAGCCCAGCATGGCGCTGCCGGGGCCCGAGGCCTTGCCCGCTGAGTGTGGTTTCGAGCCACCACACCTGGCCCCGCTGAGCGACCCCGAGGCCCCCACCATGGAGTCCCCGGAGCCCGTGAAGCCGGAGCAGGGCTTCGTGTGGCAGGAGGCAGGCGAGTTCGAGGCCGACGCGGCAGGCTCGACAGTGGAGCGCCACAAGAAGGCCCAGCTGGACCGGCTGGACATCAACGTGCAGATCGACGACTCCTACCTGGTGGAGGCGGGCGACCGCCAGAAACGCTGGCAGTGCCGCATGTGCGAGAAGTCCTACACGTCCAAGTACAACCTGGTGACGCACATCTTAGGCCACAACGGCATCAAGCCACACTCGTGCCCGCAGTGCAGCAAGCTCTTCAAGCAGCCCAGCCACCTGCAGACGCACCTGCTGACGCACCAAGGCACCCGGCCCCACAAGTGCCAGGTGTGCCAGAAGGCCTTCACGCAGACCAGCCACCTCAAGCGCCACATGCTGCTGCACTCGGAGGTCAAGCCTTACAGCTGCCACTTCTGCGGCCGTGGCTTTGCCTACCCCAGCGAGCTCAAGGCCCACGAAGTGAAGCACGAGAGCGGCCGCTGCCACGTCTGTGTCGAATGTGGCCTGGACTTCTCCACCCTGACCCAGCTCAAGCGCCACCTGGCCTCCCACCAGGGTCCCACCCTCTACCAGTGCCTCGAGTGCGACAAGTCCTTCCACTACCGCAGCCAGCTGCAGAACCACATGCTCAAGCACCAGAACGTGCGGCCGTTCGTGTGCACCGAGTGCGGCATGGAGTTCAGCCAGATCCACCACCTCAAGCAGCACTCGCTCACCCACAAGGTAAGGCCGGCACCCCGGGCCCCGCGCCCGCCCCCCGCCCTGGGGGCCCTGCCCTCTGCTGCTCTTCACGTGGTGCTTCCCACAGTCCGCGAGGAGCTCATTTAGGTCGCAGCGTGGATGCTACACAGACTCACAGTTCTTACTTATTTTGATGAGTATTTGAAAAAATAAATACTCGAAATCATTTATTTTAATAGTAAAACTGTGCTGATTTAAAACTATATTTTTGAATGAAATGTTTGAGGAACCCCTGCAGGACCTAAGGCACACAGTTGGAGAATCAAGGGCGTGGCTTGCCCTTGCTGTTTTGTAGATGGGCAGTTGGCCAGTCTGCTGCGGGGGGAGGGACCAGAGGGTCGGAAGTGCAGGGGGTACTGTTGCTCTGCATAACAAAAATATATCAACACCTGTGACTTCCCGTTAAGAAAAAAGCTAAACGTATTTCATTTTATTTTATTTATTTTATTTTTAGGCGAGGCGACCCTTGGTTGACCTCACAGATTGCGAGGACCTTGTCAGCTTACAATCTCTTATTTTTTATTTTTTACGCCTACAGCACCTGGTCTTCTTAGGTGGTCTCCCATCCAAGTACTAACCAGGCCCGACCCTGCTTAGCTTCCGAGATCAAACGGGATTGGGCTTTTATAGGGTGGCATGGCCATAGACTAATGTATTTCATTTTAAAAGGGAATAGATGTAAGGAAAAATATTCATTATGGGAAATTACAGTCGGTTCTAGAACACGGCTAAACTAGGCAAAGTGGTTTGTGTAGATGTTCTTATTGTGTCCTTAGACATAACCCCAGCCAGTTCTGCCTTTCAGCCAATGTCCTCCAGAGGCCTTTACGTCCAGGAGGGTGGAATGAGGGCTCTCGGGTCCCACAGCCTCACCTGGGCACTTGGCCTGCTCCATCGTTCCCACCCCAAATCTATCCAGCTTCCCAGTTTCAAGCTGATGTGCATAGAGCTTCTTCTCTCCATAGTGGTGGCCTTGGAAATGCTTCAGGTTGAACTTGTATCCTTATCTGTCACAGTGGACACCACAGTGGCAGGGAAAGCAGTACCCCGTCAGGCCAAGAATCCAGCCTTCCCCGCCCTGGAAATTTTCCCACTAGAGCCGAGATGATCTATAGGTTTCACCGCAGGTGTCCCTCCACTCACGTGGTGTAGCTGCCTGGAGTGTAACGGTAAGAAGGATTCCAAAGCCGAATCTGGGTTCGGCCATAAAATCGAATGTGCATGGGTGGAAACCAGATGACTGATTATCAATGTCTGCAGGCAGTGAGAGCGGAGAGTGATAAGTACATGTGCTATGTATTTGCTGTCATTCTCCCCTGCTAAAAATCCACACGTCTGCAAACTGTTATAAGATAAATAATACTGTGAGGAAAAGCTGAAAGCAAAAATCAAAGGCTAATAAAATTGGAAACATTCCTATCATCAGCCTAAATTTGTACAATGTGCACATTGTGCACTTATAGAGTTAAGCGCCCAAAGGCCGGGGCCCCCTGGTGGTCACACGCATCTTCCATGTGTCAAGCACAGAAGACACAAGGTACCCGCCTGTCTGCTCAGAGAAATAGACACTGGAACCACTAAATTGTAATAGGAAACTTTATACCAGCAGGTGGGGGCAGAGGGACCAGAGGGGCAGCAGCTGTCAGATTTCTGTCTGTCCCACTGGGGTTCTGCTAAATTGCTGGGGTTCTAACAAAGAGATCAGCTCCCAACTTTTGTCCTAACTTTCCTGCCCAGACAATACAGGAGGCCTCCTGTGCGCATGGCACCACATCCTGCTTTGGGGCCACCTCCAGGCCACACAGTCCGAACCAGAAGATCTTCCCTAGAGTCTTTGTCTCCTGGAGCTGAGTGTCCCAAACCTCGTCAATGCTAAGAATCATGTGGGGGGCCTGCAGAGACTACAAATCCCTGGGCCCACAGGATGGGAACCTCCAGGGGGCAGCTTGAGCGGCTGTTCATTGAAAAAGAACTGCGTGTGGCCCTTATCACCAGCAAAGCTTGAAAAACTCTCTCTTGGGGACTAGTGGATGGGCTCCAGGGGTGTGAGAACTCTAAATTCTACCCAGACCTGAGTGTCATTTTTCCTGGGGCATCCATACCTGCATTCATATTCTCAAAGGGGTCTGTGAGCCAGAGACCGCTGAGAGACGCCCTGAGGAGAAAAAACACATGTGGAAATAATCCATAGCGACCAGGCTAAGGCTGTGTCTTCTTAGCCACAGGCCCCTGTTGCCTAGTGTGATGCTGGCTTGTAGCAGGTGCCTGGTAAATGGCTACTGAATGAATAAACGGATACATTTGCCTGAATGAGCGAACACATTTGCCTGGTGGGCAGGAGACAGCAGGTGTGTGGGTAGCAACAATAAGGCCCAGCCAATCTCTGCCTAATACTGGAAGGCTTCCTGGAGTAAGTGGCCCAGCCCCAACATTCTCCCAGTGATTTTAAACAAGTGGTACTTGTTTGGAACAGCTACAGGAAGTCATTTTCCAGAAGCTGTGCAGACACTCTGATGCTCTGGTCCACACACGTTTCGTTCTATGGCCTTGACTATTATTCCCCACCCCTACAGGGCGTGAAGGAGTTCAAGTGTGAGGTATGTGGCCGGGAGTTCACGCTGCAGGCAAACATGAAGCGGCACATGCTGATCCACACCAGCGTCCGACCCTACCAGTGCCACATTTGCTTCAAGACCTTCGTGCAGAAGCAGACCCTCAAGACCCACATGATTGTACACTCACCTGTGAAGCCATTCAAATGCAAGGTACCGGGCCATCAGGCCCCAAGGCGGGACTGCCCCATTGGTGGCCGGGAGTCAGCATGACTGTAGCACCGAAGCCCACCGAGAGATGGCCTGGCCAGTGCAGAGCGTGCAGTCGGCACTGTTTGCGTGGAACTGCCTAGGCTTTGGGGGTTTGGAGTGGGCCATGAGGGTTCAGATCTTACAGTTGCTGAAGTTGTGCTTTTGGAGAGTTGGAGCAGGCAGGGC